GGCCCGGCCCGGCCCGGCCCCGCGGGCCGCCCCAGCCCCGCCGCCCCGCCGCACCTCGCAGCGCCTCGAAGCGCTCCAGCCGCCGGGCCGTGTCCTCCCGCCGGGCCGGGTCCCCGCTCCGGGCCGGGTCCCCGCTCCGGGCCGGGTCCCCGCTCCGGGCCGGGTCCCCGCTCCGGGCCGGGTCCCCCCGCCGGGCCGGGTCCCCCCGCCGGGCCGCCCCGCGCTCCCCCATGCCCGCCGAGCGCCGGGCCCGGAAGCGGCCGCGGGGCGGGCGGAGCCCTCGGCAGCGCCCGGGCGGGCTCCGGGAGGCTCCGGGGCGGCTCCGCGCTCCCCGCCGGGCTACGGGCGGGTGCCCGGTTGGTAAATCCGGTGAGGGGCAGAGTCCGAGTGGCGCCTGAGCTCATCCGTTCTCGTCTGCCCGCCCTCGCCGCCTTGCTGCCGCTCTCCGGGCGGCGGAGCGGCGCTGGGAGCGGGGAGCGGCGCCCAGCAGCTGCTAGCGCCTGTTTCTTCTGATAGCGACTGGCAGGAGTCACACCGCTGAGCGCTTTTCCAGCTGAAGGCTTTTCGCTCTGCAGTTCCTTGTCTCGGATATTGTGGGTTTTGATCTGCGGGTTCTGTTTGTATTCAGAGTCTGTTGAGATTACTGATACCAAATGCGGTCAGAGGGGAATGAAAGAAGGCTTTGCTGTGATAAGATCTCATTATGCACAAATCTTACAATAAAAAGTAGCTGTAAAAGCACAATAAGGAGGTACTGAGGGGAAAAAAAAAGTATTTATGAAGTGAAAAAAAAAAGTATAATAAATCCATAGTTTTTTGTGATTGTAAACTGCTGACAGAAGGTTAAAGAAAAAAGATAAATGGTTCACTGTGCTTCCTCAGTGTGAGGCTGTGATACAGGTGATAACAGTCTAATCAGAGCAATGCACACCACAAATAGCCGTTTGATCCTTCCTTGTGCTCTCGACTCACACCGGTAAGGACGATGGTCTCTTCTGTTGGAACTACACCTCTGCTCTTTGGTACTGGGTTCTCACTGCTGACAGCGGTGCTGCCCAGCAGTCCTGGGGCCCCAGGAGTCCTTTTTCTGCTCAGAGCCCAGGTTCTCCAGGCCCCGCATACCTGTGGCCCTGTACCGGGCTCTGCAGTGTCTGTTCTCTGTAGTGGGGACCAGCCCAGCATCCCCAGCACATGGCCTGCTCCACGGGCTGCCAGTGCATCTCCCAGCGCAGCCCCACAGCGCTGGCACCTTGCTTGTGCTGTGATTACAGGGCACAACCCAAGCTAAATTCATCACTGAGCAGGTATCCCTTCACTCGCTGCTGTACTGGAGTAATGCAGTAACAAAACGAGCACAGGTATTTGTTTCTGAGTACACTTACTACACCAAATTCCATCAAACTGTGTGAGGAAGAGGTTTCCCACACCTGTGGTGTGAGCGATGCTGCCAGTGAAAGAGCCTCCAGTGGAAGAGTCCCTCCAACACCTCAGATGGAAAATGCACAAGCCCTGAATAACTATGGTAGTGCTGAGATTTCATATCAGTTTTGTAATCTAAACTCTTGCGGAGGCACAGGAAGAAATTACTTGTTCTCAGCAGCGATGGACCTGTAACACCAGACCCTGCTCAACTTTGCCTGGTTCCAATAGCAACAAAAAATAACTACTAAAATAAAGTCTCTGATTTAGCTCATATTTCCTATAATCCCACCCAGAACAGTGAATATCAAGTTGAATTAAATGTTGATAAGTGAATCTGTGCTCTTACTGGTCATTTTTCTTAGAATTAGATTTCAAATGCTGCATAAAAATGGGAGGAAATGCCTACATGGTTCAGGTGGCAAAAACAAACAGGTGTGGTGCTGGGTTGTGCTGTGCAGGAAGAATTTCTTCACTGAAAGGGGGGTCAGGCCTTGGAACTGCCCGGGAGGGTTTGGAGTGCTCATCCCCGGAGGTGGCACTCGGGCTCTGGGCTGGGGACAGGGTGGGCACAGCTGGCACTCGGTGATCCCGGAGGTGTTTTCCAGCCCCACAGATGCTGTGACTCCGTGCCCAGGCTCTGCAGAGCGTGGCCCTGCTCTGTTCCCACGGATGAGTTCTCCCCTCTACCCCCATGCCCGGCACAGTTGTTGTTCCTGGCTGCCAACACTCATTAGTGCCATCTCTACTTGATTAGTTTCCCAGTTCTCACACATGCAGTTACTTAGGTTTGGGTTTACTTTGCATAAATTATCTGTGTATCTGTGTCACAGTGGAAATGTCCCCACTGCATGCTGGTGGCCAGGTCAGCTCTTGGAAAAATAAATTACATGTGTTGTTATTTGTATACTACTGTATATTAGTATAAATATTGTTACACTGGTGGTATTTTAACAAAAGGGAATACAATTCACTAAATAACTTTTCCCTCCCTCAATTAGTCTTTCTGGATATAAGAAAGTATTTTTTGAGCAACACATAATTTCATAAAAAAGCTTCCATAAAAGTAGAAGTGAAACATTTTATAAACATTTTATGAAAGTCATATGTAAGAAAAATGTTAAATATTTTCTAGGCACATCAGCTGTGTCTATGCTGGGCTTAGATACCTGTCAAAGGTAATATCTGCAATTTATTGGAGACAAAGCAATTGAAATGCTTAGCAGAAGATAAATGATCTTTTTAGCTGGAGTATAGAGTCCATAATTACAGTTGGAAACAGATTAGGAAAAATAGCATTCCATCATTTCTCCTGTTCGACATTTGCAGAAGTTCAGGGTATTGTTTTAATATTTAAACAGCCCATCTCAGGAATGTTTTCAATGTTTGATTTGGTTGAGCACTTCCCTGACACCCTTCATCATTCACCCAGATTATTTTTGTAGGCGTACATACAATATTTTAAGATTCTGTCTTTTTATCTGCTGTGTGTTTGTACCCGGACAGTTTGTTAAACTGCTAATGAGTCCCACGGGGCACTATGTTAGAATTAAACAGACACTGATACCTGCTAGAAATAAATTTTAAAAGCCCAGAAAAAAAAGCCTCTCTCCCTATATGCAAGCAGTCTGAAGCTGAGCTGTGCTGTCACTTTATGGGTTGGGTGTTGGGTTGCCTTCCCCCTTCCTTGGGGTGGGCAAGCTGGCACCTTTCTGGCACCAAAGGGCTGCTGGAGCACGGTGCCCAGCTCCAGGATCCCCAGCACAGGGAGGACCTGGAGCTGCTGGAGGGTCCAGAGGAGGCCCCGGAGATGCTGCAGGGCTGGAGCCCCTCTGGAGCCAGGCTGGCAGAGCTGGGGGGCTCCCCTGGAGAGGAGAAGGATCCAGGGAGAGCTCAGAGCCCCTGGCAGTTTCTAAAGGAACGTAGGAAAAGCAGGAGAGTGACTTTTTATGCTGGCAAATAGTGATAGTTCACAGGGGAATGGTTTTAAGCTGGAGAGGAGAGATTTAGATTGGAGATTAGGGACAAATTCTTCCCTGGCAGGGTGGGCAGCCCTGGCACAGGTGCCCAGAGCAGCTGTGGCTGCCCCTGGATCCCTGGCAGTGCCCAGGCCAGGCTGGACACAGCCTGGGACAGCGGGAGGTGTCCCTGCCAGGGCAGCAGAGGGGAGTGGATGAACTTTAAGGTCCTTCCCAACCCAAACCTGTCTGTGATTCTGTGAACTGTAGGGAAGTAAAATCAATTTCCTCTCAAGGTTTTTTGAGAAAAACACTTAGCTGTTGGTAGATTAGGTTGTACTGTCCAGGAGATGGCAGCATACATTCAGTCTTTTTTTCAAAAAACCAACCCAACCCCACCACAGTAAAATCTTCAAAAAGTATGGAGGAAATGCTTGCAGAAGTCCAATGTATTATCCTTACAATGTTGTGTACAAGTTTCTGTTTTTGATATAATCACCAAATATTTGACAACTATTGCTCCTAGTGTAAATTAGTCTTTGAGAAATGTCTGGTGAGAAGCAGAGTGGAGGAGTTCAGTGGAAAGACTCCAGTGGAGTGTTCAGTGAGTGGGAGAAAGTGTCTGTTTCTGACTGTAGTGTGTTTTTTGGGCCTGAAACACGACAGAGCAAGATGGGGCTGGGGCTGGTTTGTTCTGACAGGGAACATGAGGTTCTGTAACCCAGGCTGTACACTAAAAGTGATGATACTTTTAGTAGGATTGATGGGATTGGATCCAAGTTCCCTGATGGCAAATGTACCTGAGAAATGTTTAGTTTTTTGGTTTTGGTGGTTTTTTCCTTGTTTGTTTGTTTTTAAATGTTTGGGATTGTTCTTTGCTATGTAAGCCACCTGAGGATCTCCCCTTGGGTTGCTGTGGTGAGGGTGGTGGCCTCATGCTGCAGTTCAGCCCCAGGACCCACCTTGGCCCCAGCCTGGGGGGACCCTGAGCAGGGCTGACTCCTGGCACCCACTGAGGTCTGGCCTTGTGGCTTTCTACTTGTATGGAAATGAGGGGTTCGTAGCAAAAACTGGCTTTGCATTCTCCAGGTGCTCCCTGAACAGTGACACTGATGCAGGAAGACAGGAATGATTATTTTGTACTGCTCCTGGCAGCAGTATCAATATTCTTATTTTCTGTTCATTCCCAGCACTTTCCCTTTTCAATACTGCACTTCTTTCCTTTAATACATCGCTTTTGTTTCTGTTGCACTTATTTGTTATAAATACATTATTGTCTATTTGGTTGCACAAATGTCTTTTGGGAACATTTTCTTCAAAGGCAGAGAAGGAAACAGAGAAAGAAGAGAGGTTTTCTTCTGCTTTTGGGACTGGCCAGTGCTCCTGGTCAACCAGGGAAGCAACTCCACTGGAGCCTGTGTGCTGTGTCCTGTGTGGGACAGGTAAGCCCAGGGCTCGCTGAGCTCTTCTGGAGCAATTTCTCTAAAGCATCAGGCACAAACTGTCTTTCTTTCAAAATTAGGCATGTCTGTCTCATCCTAATTATGTTTTTTCCCCTCTAACCGATTTTTGTTCAAGTTGTTGCCATGGGCAATTGTGACAATGTTCTCCTTCCATTGCTACTATATAGAGGGGATCTGCTATAATTATTGCTTTAACTGTGTTTTTAATAATTTAAAATGTTAGAACATATATTGACCAAATGTGCTGATTTTGGGCCAGGCTGAAATGTGCCTTCTGTCTCCTGGTCATCCTGCTGTCAGGAGTGTGTAGGGCAGGCTCCAGGGGTGCAGGCAGAAGGGAAGGCACAAGGCAAAGTGCTGTTCATTTCAAACTTCTTGCTGTATTTCCTATTTATTTGAAAAACAATTAATCTTGACTCTTGTGTGACCAACAGAGGCGATCAGGTGTGTGTCAGTGGGCAGCCGTGGGAACACTTCACAGATTCTAGCTTTCCCTTTAAAAGTAGAAAAAAGTCGAGAGAATTACAAATAATTGTCTCTTTTTCCATCCCTGTCTTTAATAAAAGTATAACAAAGCTGTGTCACAATGAGTAAGTAACTGTTAGATGTATAATTAAACCTCCCTGTGTAATCTGGGGCGCTGCAAGATCGAATGAACCATGAGTTTCCCTTCTGGATACATGACCTTACTGAAAGCTCTAAATGTTTTTCACCAAGAAAGACAGAAAGACGTGGGTTTTTGAAGAATGGGGAAGTTATAGACTACAAAGCTGCCTAATACTGGCTCTGAAAGGAAAAAAGCAAAGTCTACAAAGAGCTATTGTTGGTTGTTTGGACATCCAGGAGCCAGCAGTGCTGGGAGCTGATCAGTATGGAACAACTTCAGAGTTGTGTTGCTGTTCTGAGACCCTTGTTTACAAGTTCATCACCAAGATTTAGTCCTGTAATGGTTTCTGGTTAGCAAAAAGATGAAGAATGTTACCAATTACATTTTAGATGCAAAAACTGGGTGCTTGATTTTTTTTTTTTAATTTTTTTTTCTTTATCATATCCTTAAAAGAAGAAGAAAAAGACACGAGGAGCCTTTGGCAGCCAGGGAAGGAAGTGAGGCTCCTGGAAGACATTTTATGTGGCTCTAAAGATATTCCAGACACTGCAAAAGAGCAAGAGAAAGTGCAGAGAAAAATAAATATTTTTAAAGGATTTCAGCATATTTAACATGAAACTTGTTGATTTATAAGAGTCTAATTATTACACTCATTAAAAAACCAAGATTATCATGAAAAGGCCATTATCAGATATGAAATGCTAAAAACAAATGATATATATTGAATAGGATCATACATATTTCATAGAACATATTATACTGCAAAATAAGTTGTCATGTAGCCATGGCAATGACTTTTGAGTTACCCTTTTTGATGCCTTAATGCAGTGCTCTGCATGTTTTAGTGTCAAGCCTCTGAACATGCCCAGCACTCAAAAGCTCCAGCTGAGAGTGAATATAAAGTGGTAATTATGTACCTAACTGGTCACATGCATGGATAAATGGTGTTTGTGGGCACAGGGCAGGTCCCAGGGAGCCTGAGCTGTTGGAGGGGAACTAGAGGTGTTGGACAGGAGCTGGAGGTGCTGGACAGGAGATGGAGGTGCTGGAGGGGAGCTGGAGGTGTTGGACAGGAGATGGAGGTGCTGGAGGGGAGCTGGAGGTGTTGGACAGGAGCTGGAGGTGTTAGACAGGAGCTGGAGGTGTTAGACAGGAGCTGAAGGTGTTAGACAGGAGCTGGAGGTGTTGGAGGGGAGGGAGAGGTGTTGGAGGGGAGGTGGAGGTGATGCATGTGCCCAGATCTCACAAATCACAGGAAAATGGATTTGTTAGACAGAGATTGTCTCCACATCTAAGTGCCCATGTCCATTCTAACATGTCCTTAATTAAGAAACTTTTCAGAGTTTAATTAAAAGACCATGCCCAATATTGACTCCTCAATTAAATTCAAGGCCAGGGGAGGTGTGAATGGGTTTTGTTGTAGGCCATGGGGCTCCTGATGATGTTTGTATGTTTAATTAAAAAAAAAAAAAGAAAAGAAAGAAAAAACATGAAGGAAATTCTGGAATATTTGTGCATTTAAAGTTCAAAATATTTTATTGATAACCCTTTCCTCTGTCATATTATGTCTGTCTACTTTTATTTCGAGTAATTTCTCTGATTTCTGTGTCAAAGAGCTGATGGGTACATCACAGCAGATAAGATCCAGCTGAGATTAAAATTACTTCG